AGATCCTCGTCTTCATATCTTCGCGGCCCATATCTTAGACAACCGGGAGGTTTAACAGTGCCATGAATTATAAGCGTAGCGCTCACTATCTTTCCGCTCTGATTATCATTTTTCTATTTTAAAAATATTATATTATTTACTATTAATTTGACTGTAATTTCACTATTAAGAAAATGAATTGATTGAGAAGTGATGGCTATGTACCGGATCTCTGACAACGAGCCTCCAGTGGCCTCTCGGGTCTTCGCCCCATAAGTGAACAGAAGTGAAATTCCAGTTTTTGAATCCCGAAATGTATGAATCCTTATGTCTCACAGTCAATAGCATTGTAAGCGATCCTATAGTTAATGAAATCTATTATAATTTTAATGCTATGTTTTTGTTAGCAAAACCTTTGGGAGAAATGAGCATAAGTTGTAGATTTCCTCTTCGGGAGTAATCAATATTGACATTAATCTGGATGTGTTCCACAAAATTCACCGCACATTTGTGCCCTAAGTTTAGGAAATTGATTTGAACTTCATGGCCAGAAGACAGTGCGATCGGCAGTCTATTCATTCATTGCAATACATTAATTAATTCTATATGAATGGCAATCTTTACCTTGATTTTGGTTTAATAAAACAAATATGTTTTGGCTCAACATTAACCCATTTGAGAGCCGCCTTCACTAATAGATCGGCTTTCATAAGTCCAAAGCCAAATCGGCTGTTATACATAAGTCCGGCTGCATTTCGCTTCCAACCTGTATATTATGTTCATATTAGTAATGCTTAATCACTAATTAATGCCAATAATAGATAATTGTTTTACTTTTATTTTCGATAAGTGGTGTGAATTGTGCGGTGCAGACAATCAGGTGCTGGACATCTCTCCACGTGATGTTTGGACTGAAATCAAAAATTAAGTTTTACTAAAAAGGTCACAACAAGTGAATACATACTTAGCTTCGAGGACGAGGGCTATCATCCCGGCGGCCAACGGGGCGGCGGCCGAAGTGCCCGAGTGGTCGATTGTGCACTTGTCGTGCAAATCGGTTGTCGCGATCTTCTGGTCGGTATACGTGCCGCTCGAATAAGTGACGGCCAGTGTTGAGGCACATCTCTCACTATACCAGGGAAACGCTCCCGACTGACTCGCGCTCCCAATCGAGATCGTGTATATAGAGCTCACATATCCATCGCAATTGCAATTATCTCCTTTTATTCCTCCATTACCAGAAGCCCATACGAATATACAGCCCAATCCTCTTCGTCCATATGTTATACCTCTCAATAGAGCTTCGGTTGCAAATCGTTTGGGACCGTCGAGTGACATCCCATCTGTCATTTCAATACACATCGTGTCAATCACTGTAACTCTTTATGCAATATTAATTGAACACATGTGCGCCCGAGAGTACGATCAATATTAGCACATCTCAACTATCGTTCTAGCCTAATATTAAGCATTGTATCTATCATNTATCATAAATATCCGTGGTCATTATTTTTGTCTAGGTGTTATATAGCGATGGACTTATTATAGCTAAATTCCGCTGTATATAAAGTACAAATATTTGAATTGATTTTAATGACTAAAATGTGCCTAAAATCCATTTTCCTGATCTCAATCTCTTGCCAATTGCATAGAAGTTCCCAACTATTCTATTCACTGCACCCCTACTGGTGAACCAGTGGTGATACATGTTATCACTCCAATTGCTACTTAAAAAAGATTTTAAAATAGTTTAACAAAAATTCTCGCAGAATTTTTTGTATATTAATAGACTATCAATGATATCTAGGTGATTAATAAGTATCCGTTAAACGGATACGCAAAAACCTCCCAAACGAAATGAGCTAGATCAAATCTGTAAATGGTAAAATAAAGTGCTATTTGTCTAGTTTTTTTAGCTGAAAAATTATTGAAATTACGTGACTAAATGTTAGAAATTTTTGGTACAATTTAAAATGATCATAACTATAGTTAAGATGAAGTGGTCGGAGGGAGGGGAGATGTCAAAGGGTAATAATAACTTGGAACCACCCTCATCGGATCGCTGTAGCAAACTGTGGCAACTTTTTCATGTTAACCTATGGGGCTGAAAAAATATTATATTAAAATATAATTAACTATATTTTTAACAACAATTCATTTATGGTTAAACATTCGTTAACCTGTTGTGTTAAATCCTAATAGTCTCAAAAGTTTCATAGAATTAAGATTAGTCTTATCAGCACGATTATTTTAAACCACATTCTTCATAAATGAATATTGAAAATTAAAAATATTTAAATAAAACTAACTGAACTGTCCATAAATTCAGTGATGTTCTCACAATCAATAAATAATTATGGTTTTTTAAATTTTAATATATTTTTAATGTTTAATATTTGAAATTAATTATAATGAAGGCAATTAAAAATAATTTTCATCAATGGTTCCTAGGATTTATCGAATTTGTGTAATAATTATTTATACAGTACAGTGTGTTAACAGTTTTAAATCTAGATAAATTTTCAAACTTTTATAGTAAATTAGAAAATTGCACAGAATATTGAATATTTATTTAATTGTACTTTTATTGAGTTTGATATAGAAGTGGATTATTTTAAAATATAAATATAATTACAGATAACTGGATTCAAAGATTTTTATCTACTGAAAAAAGTGGGTCATCCGAGACGAAGCCGACGTCACGCCAATCACTATACAGACCAACTTCTGGGCGACCGTCGGGTGGAATGGGCTGAACAACAAATCGCTAGAATCCGAACGAAGAGAGACTTTATCTCATTTGACTCGCAATGGCTTAAATTCTTGCGTTCGAGCGATGATCCCCTGGAAAGGGGCAAAAAGTATCCCTTTCCTCACGAGGACCACACTTTCAATGACCAACTTTGGAGCCGTCAGTGGTATCTTCACGACACACGCAATGTGCCAACGCTTCCCGAACTAGATCTTGGAGTCAAAGAGGTTTTGTTTTATAAATTGAACTTATTTTCTAAACATCGAAACAATAATTTTGTTATAATTTTAATGATTATTCTTTTAAATTTCTTAATATTATTTTGTGAAAGGCGTGGAGAATGGGATTCACTGGGAAAGGAGTTGTGGTTACTGTAGTTGACGACGGTTTGCATAAGTTTTATATTAAGTTTTTGTTTAAAAACAATTATTCACAAAATTATTATAATAATTAGGTCTGGAGTGGAATCACACCGACATTATATCAAACTATGTGAGCCTTAAAATGAAAACATTTTGAAACATTACTAATTGATATGATTTGTTAGGACCAAAAAGCCAGTTGTGATACCAATGATAACGATTGGGATCCAAGTTTGTGTCCCTTTTCTTTAACTATTAATTAATTGTTTCTTATGATTGAAAAACTGATATATTATGATATAATGGAAAACAGCTCCGAATTACGATCGACTGGACTCTAATAGTCACGGAACCCGATGTGCCGGTGAAATAGCAATGACTGCTAATAACCATAAATGTGGAGTTGGGATAGCATTCAACGCTAGGATCGGCGGTTTGACTACATTTCAAACCATATTGTCTTTAATACATATAATATAACATATTTTTCAACAGGAATTCGGTGTTTGGACGGAGACGTGTCAGATGTGGTCGAAGCCCTGTCCTTAGGGTTTAATAACCATTACATTGATATTTACAGTTCAAGTTGGGGACCAAATGACGGTAAATACTGTATTATTCTAAGTTTATGAAACTAGTGCTATTCTCATGAGAAACTTGCAAATACTTAAAATGTTTATAAAATAATTGTAAAAATTATAAGAGAACATTAATAATTTTACATTACAAGAATTTACTTAACAAGAATAAAAATATTTCTTTATTTGTAAATGTTATTTCCTTTATAATTTTAAATATGATGATTTTTAGCCACAATTTATTATGAAGAATGATGTTTGTAGGAACTCGCGGCTATCCCCTCGATTTAACATGTAATCACAAAATATGGGAATTTTCCGGAAGAAAAAAAATTTAGAGAAAACTAATGTATTTATGAATAAATGCTAATTAAGTCCAAATATTTTAAGTTTTATTAAAAAAATAATTCAAGAATTAGTTTAAATTAATTCAGTTGAATAGATTTAACAAAATCTTTTGACATAATATTTTTAACTGTATTTAGATACATGTACGGTATACAGTTAGAAAAACTATTTATATACATCGACTGGTCATCGTTTGACGATATTTTATCTTATTTACCCTGGGATAAAATATATTTTCTCTTAAAAATATATTCCCGGAATATATTCGACCGGGGAGGGAAGTGTCTAACGTTAAACATGGGCAATGCCAAGTTTATGGGATTCTTTGAACAATATCGTAATTGTGGTTAACGCATAGCATTGCGTGGGAACCTTGTTTAATGTTTGAATTTCTGTATTGCTTTTCCCAAATTGACGTTAACTTTATCGCTTTGCTTTCAAACCATGTTTTTATAAATTCGTTGATTTAGAATATTATCATCATTGTTCATAAAAAATATTAGAAATAAGATTCGTTAAGAAGATATATTAGAAATTTTATTGTTTTTTTAATTGAAATTTAGTGAAAATAACCATGATAGATACAATGCTTAATATTAGGCTAGAACGATAGTTGAGATGTGCTAATATTGATCGTACTCTCGGGCGCACATGTGTTCAATTAATATTGCATAAAGAGTTACAGTGATTGACACGATGTGTATTGAAATGACAGATGGGATGTCACTCGACGGTCCCAAACGATTTGCAACCGAAGCTCTATTGAGAGGTATAACATATGGACGAAGAGGATTGGGCTGTATATTCGTATGGGCTTCTGGTAATGGAGGAATAAAAGGAGATAATTGCAATTGCGATGGATATGTGAGCTCTATATACACGATCTCGATTGGGAGCGCGAGTCAGTCGGGAGCGTTTCCCTGGTATAGTGAGAGATGTGCCTCAACACTGGCCGTCACTTATTCGAGCGGCACGTATACCGACCAGAAGATCGCGACAACCGATTTGCACGACAAGTGCACAATCGACCACTCGGGCACTTCGGCCGCCGCCCCGTTGGCCGCCGGGATGATAGCCCTCGTCCTCGAAGCTAAGTATGTATTCACTTGTTGTGACCTTTTTAGTAAAACTTAATTTTTGATTTCAGTCCAAACATCACGTGGAGAGATGTCCAGCACCTGATTGTCTGCACCGCACAATTCACACCACTTATCGANCAATTCATTTATGGTTAACATTCGTTAACCTGTTGTGTTAAATCCTAATAGTCTCAAAAGTTTCATAGAATTAAGATTAGTCTTATCAGCACGATTATTTTAAACCACATTCTTCATAAATGAATATTGAAAATTAAAAATATTTAAATAAAACTAACTGTCCATAAATTCAGTGATGTTCTCACAATCAATAAATAATTGTGGTTTTTTAAATTTTAATATATTTTTAATGTTTAAAATTTGTAATTAATTATAATGAAAGTAATTAAAAATAATTTTCATCAATGGTTCCTAGGATTTATCGAATTTGTGTAATAATTATTTATACAGTACAATGTGTTAACAGTTTTAGATCTAGATAAATTTTCAAACTTTTATAGTAAATTAGAAAATTACACAGAATATTGAATATTTATTTAATTGTACTTTTATTGAGTTTAATATAGAAGTGGATTATTTTAAAATATAAATATAATTACAGATAACTGGATTCAAAGATTTTTATCTACTGAAAAAAGTGGGTCATCCGAGACGAAGCCGACGTCACGCCAATCACTATACAGACCA